CCTTTACATGAAATGAACATTCTGCAGCCAAAAACTTTTACAACCACCAAGAATGAACATTCTGAGGCCCAGGATCTTTACAACCCATAGGAATGAACATTCTGAGGCCCAAGACCTTTACAACCCATAGGAATGTACATTATGAGGTCCAAGACCTTTACAACCCACATGAATGAACATTCTGAGACCCAAGACCTCTACAACCCATGGACATAAATAAACATTCTGAGAACCAAGACCTCTACAACCCATGGGAATAAACATTCTGAGGCCCCAAGACCTCTACAATGCATAGGAATGAACATTCTGACGCCCAGGACCTTTACAACCCATAGGAATGAACATTCTGGGCTCCAAGACCTTTACAACCCATATGAATGAACATTCTGAGACCCAAGACCTCTACAACCCATAGACATGAACATTCTGCAGCCAAAGACTTTTACAACACCCAAGAATGAACATTCTGAGGCCCAGGATCTTTACAACCCATAGGAATGAACATTCTGATGCCCAATACCTCTACAACCCATAGGAAAGAACATTCTGAGGCCCAGGGCCTTTACAACACGTATGAATGAACATACTGAGGCCCAAGACCTCCACAACACCTAGGATTGAACATACTGAGGCCCAAGACCTCTACAACACCTAGGAATGAACATTCTGAAAACCAATAGTTGCTGTCGACATAGGAAGTAAAGTAAGCAAATAACACAGAATAAACGGCAAGGTAAATACTACGTCTAATTATAGTATTTACCTTGCCGTTTATTCGGTGTTATTTGCTTACTTTATTCTGAAAACCAAGACCTCTACAACCCATAGGAATTAACATTCTGAGGTTCAATAACTCCACAACCATGGGAATGAACATTCTGAGGCCTAGGCCCTCTACAGCACCTAGGAATGGACATTCTGAGGCCCAATACCTCTGCAAATCATAGGCATGAACATTCTGAGGCTCAATACCCCTGCAACCCATAGAAATCAACATTCTGAGACCAAAGACCTCAACAGAACATGAATGAACATTTTGTGGCCAGGAACCTTTACAACACATAGGAATAAACTTTTTGAGGTCTAAGAACTGTAAAACACATAGGAATGAACATTCTGGGGCCGAACACCTCTACAACATCTAGAAATGATCATTTTGAGGCCTAAGACCTCTACAACACCTAGGAATGAACATGCTGAGGCCCATGACCTCCACAACATCTATGAATGAGCATACTGAGGCCTAGGACCTCCACAACACATAGGAATGAACATTCTGAGAACCAAGACCTCTACAACCCATTGAAATTAACATTCTGGGCCCCAAGACCTCTACAAAACCGAGGAATGAACATACTGAGACCCTCGACCTCCACAACACCTAGGAATGAACATTCCGAGAACCGAGACCTGTACAACCCATAGAAATAAACATTCTGAGACCCAAGACTACCCATTGGAATTAACATTCTGAGGCCTAAGACCTCTACAGGATCTAGGAATGAACATTCTGAGGCCCAGGACATCTACAACACCTAGGAATGGACATTCTGAGGCCCAAGACATTTACAACGCCTAGGAATGAACATTATGAGACCCAAGACCTCTAAAACGCATAGGAATGAACATTCTGTGGCCAAAGACCTCTGCAACACATAGGAATGAACATTTTGAGACCCAAGAACTCTACAACACATAGGAATGAACATGCTGAATCCAGGACCTCTACAACACCTAGGAATGAACAGTCTGAGGCCCAGGACCTTTACAACCCATAGAAATGAACATTCTGAGACCCAAGCCATCTACTACCCATTGGAATTAACATTCTGAGGCCCAAGACCTCTACAGCACCTAGGAATGAATATTCTGAGGCCCAGGATATCTACAACACCTAGGAATGAACATTATGAGACCCAAGACCTCCACAACACATAGGAATGAACATTCTGAAGCCAAAGACCTCTGCAACACATAGGAATGAACATTTTGAGGCCTAAGAACTCTACAACACCTAGGAATGAACCTGCTGAGGTCCAGGACCTCTACAACACATAGGAATGAACTTTCTGGGGGCGAACACCTCTACAACATCTAGAAAGGAGCATTTTAAGGCCCACGACTTCTACAACACATAGGAATGAATTTTCTGAGGCTTGAGGCCTCTACAACAGCTAGGAATGAACATTCCGAGCCCGAACACATCTGCAACACCTAGGACTCGATGCTATGAGGTCTGAGACTTCTACAACACTTAGGTATGGACGTCCTGGGGTCGGAGTCCTCTTCAGCAACACAGAATAAAGGTTGTGAGGTACAAGGCTTCTACAACACCTAGGAATAAATAACCTTCATGTTGCATGATCTGATATTATGATGTTCGGCGCCTAGGTTTTAGTAAATGTATGTTGTCTGTCTGGCCGGGAACGTTTAATAGAAACCAAACAGCCTGTCAGAATCA